GGATGTTGTTAATAGAAGAGCAACATGTGTAAGTTGTGTATTTAAATTTCGAAATAATATTAGCTATTGTCAACTGTTGTGCATAAGTTGTATTATAGTGATCGAAGGTTGTCATTAACAAACCCTTGACCTGTTCTGTTATGTAGGATGGAAGACTTGTTCGGAGGTTCAGATACATTGTCCATGTCTCCACCTAATGTGGTTAGTGAAGACCCACTATTGTTGCCATGTGTGGTTCAGAAATGAGCCAACCCCAATTCCGGAAATGAATTCAACAAAGTGGAGGGTTGCTTATCGGAGAAGGACAGATTTTTCCTAATGCAGTGGCTCTTAGGCAAGCACTGTATAGGTACAGTATTGCTATGAAGTTTTCATACAAGTTTGTGAAGAACAATCAACAAAAGATCATTGTGAAGTGTATGGCGAAGGGATGCCCGTGGTATATGGGTGCATACTCAATGGGACAAAGACAAGATTCTGAGTTGTTAATAATTAGAACCTTAAGAAGTGAGCATGTGCATTATGCACAGGACAGCTTGGTTGTATCTCACTCTAGAGGGTCAAACTTAACATCATCAATCATGATAGATTCTTTGAGGTGTAATATAGACAAGAATGCTAATGAACTTAGAAGAGATCTGTATAGAGAATATGGGGTGCGACAGAATTATAGTCAAGCATACAGGGGTAGAGAAAGAGCGTTGAGGGAAATACATGGTCGTGCACAGGATTCATACATGGCGATTCCCTGGATTTGTGAAAGGCTCATTGAAACTGATCCAAACACAAGTGCTCGATGGGAAGGGTTGGATAGTAACAGATTTCAGAGGGTGTTCATTGCTTATGGATGCTCAATTAATGGATTTTTAGAAGGGTGTCGACATATACTTTATATAGACGGCTGTCATCTAAGTGGTCCTTACAGAGGGACATTGATTTCAGCTAATGCATATGATGCAGACAATGAACTATTTCCATTAGCATATGCTATAGTTAGTGGGGAGACATATGATGATTGGGCTTGGTTTCTCCAGAACATCAAAGACATCACAAGATCAGTGGAGACAATGATAGTTTCAGATCGGAATAATGCCATTATAGGTGCTGTGCGAACAATATTTGGTGGCGAGAGACATGCTTTTTGTTATAGGCATGTGAAAGAAAATTTTAGTGCACATTATTTAAAAATTAACCGAGGCAGGGGACGAGTTTCAGGTACTTCAAAGGACGTTGCATTGAAAATACTGGATGGAATCGCCTATGCAAGGATTGAGGATGAATATGTTGCTGCAATGGGGAAACTTAGATCATTCTGTCCACAATTAGCTGATTGGGTTGACACTCAAGGAGATGTAGATCGGTGGGCTTTAAGCAAATTCCCGTTTAAGCGATGAGGATAACATCACCACTAATGTTGCGGAGTCGTTTAATGCCTGGATTTTGAAGGAGAGGAAGCACAATGTGTCAGTTCTCATACATGAGCATATGGAGAAATTAGCCAAGAAGATGGTTGCAAGCAAAATGGCAATGGAAAATTGGACAAATGGCGTTGGGCCAAATATTGAGTCCAAGTTGCAAGAAAAAGTAGTAAGAGCGGAGAATATGCATACTGTATATTATGGAGATAACCGAGTTCAAGTTGATACTACATCTCCTACTGGAATAATTTGTGTCACTGTTGATCTCACAGCTCAGAAATGCACTTGTTTAGCATGGCAAATGAGCGGAGTACCTTGTGTTCATGCCTGTGCAGCGATAAAGCTACTTCATGGTAGTGTTTATGAATTTGTAGATGATTGCTATAAGCTGTCAGCCCAAGAGAAGATATATGCAAGTAGTATGAGGCCAATTGCGACACATGATTGTCCTCGTCCCGAAACTCTCACCGTTACGCAGATGATGACGGGAACATTTTTACAGCCACCAATCACTAAAAGACCCTCAGGGAGGCCAAAGAAAAGAAGGATTGAATCTCAATTTCAAAGTAAAAAACTTTACCACTGTGGAAGATGCCATGAGCCAGGCCACACTGTGAAGACTTGCCAGAACCCCAATCCAAGTTGAGCTTTGCTGGTGGCTTGCTGATATTTCGTTTTGTGAATGCTTGTGACAGCATTTTTTTTGTAAATGTCATAACCAACACCTCAAGTTGTCCGTCATTATCCACACATGCAACACGTATGCTTTTTTGAATAGGTTGTAAATTTGGTGTAGTTATGTTGTACATATATATATCAAGTGGTAAATGACACCTGGTTGTAATCTGATATAACATCATTTCTGTATTTTTGATGTACTGGTAAATAGGTTGTAATGGACTTGTTATCAAACGCCATGCAGGTTGTCATTAGCAGTCTCAATTATGTTACTGATATAAAGTGACAATTTCTCCTACTTCCAGTGTTCAGTGATTTCTTAAGACATTCGAGCTGTGTTAAAGTCATAATATGATATGATTTGGTTAGAATTAGATCTCATGTGGAGGTTGTGGTATCCCCAGCGTCAATTGTCAGGGGCAATGCGAAGGTTGTTAACCAATTCTGTTCGGGTTGTCAACAATCCCTGTTGAGGTTGTAAATAAATTGCTGGAATAAAAATCTGCTGTAATATGATTTGGTTCTTTTAAAGCTGTTAATGACTTTAAAATGCTCTCAATTTTTGCTATTAAGGTCGTTATATGTGCTCATAATATAATTAAGTTAACAGCTGTGTTATACCCCGAGTGAGTTGTTAACCAATTCTGTTCGGGTTGTCAACAATCCCTTTTGAGGTTGTGAACAACCCCTGTTGAGGTTGTAAACAGATGTGGCAGAGAGGACTCTGATATATGCCTATCATGTCACCGTGGTTACCATTTGTTTATCCAGTCTTATTCAGTCTGCATTTGTGGCCATGATGAAAACACATGAATGCCTTTACAAAAACTTGATAACTAGTAAAGGATATCAAAACACATTAACATATCTTAACATCCAGGATTCATACATGCTCAAAGAAAAGAATAAAATGTGAACTTGACGTTCAGATGTCACTATGCTGTCAAATAAATAAATGTAAATACAATATATGCTTGTCATTTATTTCTTCCTCTTGCTTTGGGGGTTTCCTCGCAGCAAAGACAGCACTTCATCGCCATGCAGGTTGTTCCGATGAGTCACGAGCCACCACAAGCATCCAACCTTCAAGTCATGGATTTCTTCAGGGGAGTACTTAGGCATTGTGTAGCCGTCATCACCATACTCAGTGCCGTCCCATGTTTGTAACCAGCTCAACACATGCACCCCACAAGAGTCCCTACAAAGGAAAAACAAGTACTTTAGTGAATGAACATTAGCTCCCAAAGTTGAGACACAAGTACTTGTTGTGCTGAAAAATAACTCACGTGTCAGATTGCACATGAACTTTTACCCATGTGACTTCCTCGTCAATCTTGTCCTCCTCCGCAAACAGTGATGGCTTCAGCACACGAAGCACTTGGCAGAAACAATCTCTCTGCAATAAAGGGACAAACAGAAGAAACAAGTTTGACAGTTGTGAATGACAAGTTATCAGGAAGCATTAACAACCTTCGCTGTAGCCAATGACAAGTAATCAGCAGGCATTAACAATCAGGACAGTTAAGCAGACAAGCAACCATAACGCATTAACAAGTTATAGAATGAATGTAAAGTTGTGCATACAATCCCTCTCGCCATGAATTGCTTAGGATCTATCTGTCCTCTCTTCTTCCCTTGCTTCCTTTGTGGTTTCTTCCCTGTTTTCATTGCTTCTTCTTCCTCTCTTTGTAATCTCAACATCGTCAAATTGTCCACCAACGAGTCAAGGGCATAGAAACGCATGGTTCTTACATCCATCACGTAGCAGAACCAATGGTAATTGAAAAGGGTGGGGCCAAATATGAAGTCACAGTCTCCAATGTTATATCCTATGTGCTCCGGTAAGATTTCATGTTCATGTTTTTCCAGGCTCCACCTAAGAGGATTAGCGGCCATTGTTTGCATTAACTCGGGTGAAAAATGTGCCTACTGACACGACTGTGGTTCTCTTTTTCATCTCCCACCAAGGTTCTCGCCACCATAGACATGAACTATATCACACATACAAACAGTTAGTCATGATCATAATGACATTCGCAGTTCTCTATCTATATAAACAACTGTCTTACCCTGTCGTTCATCCATTTCCTGTCTTGTAGGCAGCAAAGCTCAGCACGTGTCAAGAAGTACCCATACATCTCTACAATGTACCTGCAGCAAAAGGAACAATGAGCACAAGGGTTGTATGTGTAAAATTGTTGTCAATCAGTTGTCCCAATTACAATCAGTCCCAACACTTACTTGGCACCTTCATCTTGATCACATCTTCTCGTGCACATCTGGAATAATTCCTCTTTCTCGTCAGCTTTTCTCTTGCCACGGCCTTTTTTCACCTCCTCTAACCAGGGAGATTTGATTGCACGGCTTCTCACCCGTGTTGATCTTCTTACATCCATTTGCCCTTGTGCTTGCTGGTCCATTTCATCCTTTTCCTCCATTTCATCGCCTACACCCTTATCCTCTTCTGCTGCTGCATCACTAGACTTGTCTTGTGTTTTTTCTTCTCCATCATCCTCTGATCTAGAGTGACTCCCTTCTCCTTTCTCCTCAGGTTGAGATTGACTCTCTTCTTCACGCGAAGCACTTTTGCCCTCTTCTTTATCATCTCCTTCTGGTTCACTCTGTTGTTCCTCTTGTGACAGAATTGAATCTTTTGGGCTTCCTTTACCTTCTTCACCGGTTTCTTCATCTTCAGTTGCCTTCTCTTTGTCATCTTCGCTACTTACTGCTTCCACCACATCTTCCTTGTCAACCTCATCCATCAACCTCAACTGCAGGGAAACCAACTCTTCTCCAATTGTCGACACCAACCCTTCAACCATGGTCATCAACCTTTCATACGTTCTCTTGATTTCCTGCAAAACAACAGTAATGAAAGTTATCATTACTCCAAATTCTACACAGCACCAAAATAAGCTTCACATGATTTACTTACAGGGTGGGTTAGCTTTATTCCTGTGTTGGATGCACTTGTTGAAGCCCCACCGACACTCGGAACGCCATGCAGTATGCCTCTGTCGCTATTCTTTTCTGATTTCACTCTTGCCTTCACTTTTTCCTCATCCCAATAAGTAATGGCATTTTCATTTTTTGCCGCCTTTTCTTTTCCGAGAGGAAAGTGTTGTAGGCAATAAATCTGCATGTGAAGTTAATGATAACTTAGATATACAACAACATCATCCAAACAGGCCACTGACAACATAAACAGCGAAAAATCACAACCTATACACTGCCCAATAACAACATACACAGTGACCAATCACAACCTACACACTGCCCAATAACAACATACACAGTGACCAATCACAACTTACACATAAGCCTGTCACAACATACATTTGCGCCATTCACAACATGTACAGCATCCAGTGACAACCCATACTCAACAGAATGACAACACGAACAGACTGCAATTACAACCTATACATAACCAGGTGACAAACCAACACAGCCCAATGACAACCTGCACACAGGTCAATAACAACCTCCACACCATCCACTCACAACATATACATAACCAGTTCACAGCGTACATTTTCCCAACTCGACGACATAGAGTAGTAAATAACAACATACACACTGTCCAATCACAACCTACACATAAGCCTGTCACAACATACATTTGCGCCATTCACAACATGTACAGCATCCAGTGACAACCCATACTCAACAGAATGACAACACGAACAGACTGCAATTACAACCTATACATAACCAGGTGACAAACCAACACAGCCCAATGACAACCTGAACACAGGAAAATAACAACCTCCACACCAGCCAGTCACAACATATCCATAACCAGTTCACAGCGTACATTTCTCCAACTGACGACATGGAGTAGTAAATAACAACATACACAGTGTCCAATCACAACCTACACATACCCTGTCACAACATACATTTGCGCCATTCACAACATGTACAGCATCCAGTGACAACCCATACTCAACAGAATGACAACACGAACAGACTGCAATTACAACCTATACATAACCAGGTGACAAACCAACACAGCCCAATGACAACCTGCACACAGGAAAATAACAACCTCCACACCATCCACTCACAACATATATAACCAGTTCACAGCGTACATTTCTCCAACTGACGACATAGAGTAGTAAATAACAACATACACAGTGACCAATCACAACCTACACATAACCCTGTCACAACATACATTTGCGCCATTCACAACATGTACAGCATCCAGTGACAACCCATACTCAACAGAATGACAACACGAACAGACTGCAATTACAACCTATACATAACCAGGTGACAAACCAACACAG